ATATACTTTGTATGCACGTCCATGTGTGTTATATATATATATATACACATTGTATGCACGTCCATGTGTTTTCTGGCTCCTGCACACACCTCCGCCGCTCTCACACCACACAGGTCTATTACAACCTTCTTCTTCATGTCCCGAAGGCACATCATCCTGCGAACACATTTCCCTCCTTCCCAAAGCCTATATTTAGCCCCGCCCAACAGCAGCCCAGCCGGCCAATCACGCAGCTGTAATTTCAAATTCCCCCGCACTTCAGTCGCCTACTTTTAACCAATCCCGAACGCAGAGGTTAACTCTGAGTGGCCCGGATGAATATCTCGCGGCTGTTGCTGATCGCTGTGATCTGACTATCGTTTGCTTCTGTCTGAGCTTCCGCCATTGCTTCGTCCCATAAGTCGATGGTGGAGCAACATGGCTGCGCGCAGCCGTTACCGATCGAGGTGCTGAGAGACACACAAGTGCGGGTCTCCACTGAACGCCTCACCCGTTACTGATCCTGGCCCTCACTGTAGCATTCGAGGTTAGAGGGCGGAAGTCGCAGGTGCGAAGTTTCAGTGTCAGAACTAGCCGAGTGCAGTTCTAAAACTCCCCCGCTGGAATATGACAAGTTGCCCTGTCGGGGATGACCCCCTTGAAATGGCTTAATAATAAGTGTGCCAGGCTTGAAGCATGCAGGTGCTGCTCCTGATCCTCAGTGGTGTGGGCTGGGCTGTGGACTTGGTGTTGCTGGTGCTGGACTTGAATTACTGGCTGGTGTCATCCCTCGTTTCATTCCTATGTTGGACCATTCACTTCATCTTCAGTCTTCCAGGAGCCATCTCCCTCACTTTGCTGCAATGCTGGGAATGTGCATGGCTGGGCATGACCGCGGTGGGAGACTGCTGCTGCGGTCTTGTGGTTGGCGCCGTGCAGACGGCGGGGAACATGCTTGGAGGAGCCCTGGCTGGCCTGGACTCTCTGCAGCTGGCCTGGAACTTGGTGTGCCACTTAGGAATCCGCAGCAAAGAGATGATGCAGCGGGGTCTCCTCAACATCGCCTTGTCCGGACAGAATCTTCACCGCCAAGTCTGGGAAGCTCTGACCATCGGCGGTAGTTTAGCCGCCTACCTGGTGAACACCTTGGTCAATCTGTTCCTTATTGGCGTGCAGTATGTTTGCTCAGGAGTCCTGTCTTTGTGGCTTGGCGTAGTAAATGTGATTTTCATGAGTAAAGAATGGATCATCGCAATGTTTTCCCAGCTTTCCAACACTGCGGTCACAGTGGTCATCCTGCTATGGGCGCCGTTCAAAATGGCTGTGGACATCTTCGTATTGTGCAGCACCAACATTGGAGTCATCATGTTCAAGCACCTCTATGAAGTTCTGTTGCTTCTGTTCCTGATTTGGGTCTCCCGTATGTTTTTCAGACCTTCGCCTGCAGCACGTTTTCTGCAAGAAAAGCTAAACATGTTCTACCAGACTCTGCTAGTGTGTCTTCAGATCATCCTGAGTTCCGATGTCTGGAGGAGGGTGGTCGACCGGAGTCTTCAGCTTCTCAGAATTTACGGAGCAGCCTGGTACAGAAGCGTGAACCGTGTGAGGACCAGAGCGCAGGACGCACCGCCGAGGACCAACAGGGTGCCAGAGCCCGCCCAGCCGCCCAATCTGCCACCTCCGAGGTTAAACTTTTATATGCAACCTAATCCACGCCGGAATGCGGCGGCTGATAGGGGACAGACTTCACAGCAAGCACCTCCTGCGCCCCAGTGCAGTGCATCGACCTCCAGGGAGAATAAGGCGGCAGCAGAGGACCCCTGGAGATTGTTAAAACAGCAGGAAGAGAGCCGGAAATGTGTCATCTGCCAGGATCAGCCCAAAAGCATTCTTCTGTTACCATGTCGTCACCTCTGTCTGTGTGCTCGGTGCACTAACATTCTGCAGCAACAGCCTATCCTTCAGCGCAACTGTCCACTGTGCCGGCAAATGATACTGCAGACATTAAATGTCTACATGTAATGCAGAAATATCGTGTGGGCAGAGACTAAAGGCCAATGTTGCAAAATTAAAGCCTGTGAAAGAAGAATAAACATTTCCTTAAGTGTATTTCCACAGTTGGGATGACACCTAGGGCAGGGATAGGCAAACTCCAGCCCTTTAGCTGTGGTGAAACCACAAATCCTATCATGCATCTGCCTCT